AAAAGATGGAGTCGTGTTTGAGCAGCGTAAGAGCCGTGTCAACCAGATGTTCCTCCGTGTGTCCGTGCAGTTGTATGGCGTGATGAAGAGGACACTGGTGGTGTGTAAGCTGACTCTTCTGTCGACTTAAATAAATGTTGTGTTTTGTCAGCAGAAGAAGCAGAACACCAGTAAAGGTGGTAAGAAGAAGAAGCAGGTCCTTAAATTCACACTGGACTGCACCCACCCTGTTGAAGATGGCATCATGGACGCTGCCAACTTTGTAAGTATAGCTGTCCACAGATTCAAGGATTCAGTACACGGTTGACATTGATATCTGCTGCTGACTAGATTTTCTGCCTGAGCATTGACATTTCAGTATAATGTGCACATGGTTGTCATTGATGTTTCCACAATTGTCCCTTCCAGGAGCAGTTTCTTCAGGAGCGCATCAAGGTGAACGGGAAAGCCGGCAACCTGGGTGGTGGTGTGGTCTCCATCGAGAGGAGCAAGAGCAAGATCACAGTGTCCTCTGAGGTGCCCTTCTCCAAGAGGTAGGAACCAGTCAGAGTAGTTGCTGCTCATGTGTTTTTTAACCTCAACACATCAGAATAGACTCGAGGCTCGGAGACATGCTGCCTTCAGGAGACCTCCAGTGTTCTTGTTGTTTGCATGTTCTTCCTGCAGGTGTGTGATTTTAACCTGTTAGTTGGAGTTTAATGTATAGGAGCTGTGTGTTTGCTTGTGTGAGCATCTCGTCCTAAAGCAAATTGTGGTTTTATCATTTCTGTGTTGGTTTAAATTGTGAATCCATACTGGGTGAATATGACTAGGATTCAGTGTGTGGTGTTGGGCTGCATCTCCCCACTCAGTGTTGGAGATGTTGTTCTGATGACACCTCCTGTTCAGCACTAGGGGGGGTTTGATCCACAGAGTGAGCCTCAGCAAATATCTGTTTCACTGCGTTTTCTCTGTCCAGACAACAGTATCAAATCCAATTTTATTTGTATAGCACCAAATTACAACAAACGTCACCTCAGGACACTTTACAAACTAAGGTCTAGACCTTACTGTTATCAATATTATTACATAGGGAAAACCAGTAGCCCAGGTCTACATAGGACTGCACGATTAATTAATGTGATTTAGATCCCTGTACGATCCCAATCTCGTGACGATGATTCTGCCGTGTTTGCTTTAGCAGAGAGATCCTTTGTATCAAAACCAAGCGCTCCCTTTTCCTCGCTAAACTGCGCTAACCATTAACTGCAAAGTAATTTCTTTCCGTCTCAACTGCTATTTTTCACTAGGTGCACAGGGCAGGCAGCACAATTTTTGGAAATAGTTGCAGAAGGGCACAGAATATCTTTCATAATGTCAAACATGTTGGATTTGTTTTTAAATCACCTTCTCGTCCCGTCTACAGCTCATCACGTGATGCAACACATACCTGTTATTAATGCAGCTTAGCGCTACATTAGAGACCTGGTCACAGATAAGATAAAAGGTTTCACAAACCTGAAACAGTGCTTTAAAGATTCGTTAATCTGACTCTGGGCCTAGACATCGTCCAGTTGCTCTTTTTCACATGTAGCAAACAGGAAGTAGTCAGTGTCAGACATGTTCTCACCTACTAGAAATACTTGGTCTGGTTTATGTGAGAGTGGTGCGCACCTGGGTGGAGTGTGCCCGAGGCGCGACATAATGCTGTCACAGTTTGTAATTTAGTCTTAACCGAGTCTCTTCCTTTGTCTGACGACTCTGGTACCAGCTGTTAATGACAAGTTCCCTTATGGTCTGGGTCAACTGACTCAGACATCAGCCTTCTAGCATAGGGCTTGTCTGGGTTATGTCTAGATCATTTTAGGGTTCCAGTGCAGTCTGAAAGGGGCTCCTGTTAAATAGTTTTCCGATGTAGACGTGGTCTAGTGAGGTCTGGAACGGTAGTAAAGTGCCTATTTGTTTTCAGAAATAGAACAGTTACTGGAGTCTGCTTGTTAATCTAGGCCATGTTTGACAAATGTGGTTTTTAACATACACCTGGACTGTTGCTGTCTGGACAAAGCACAGGGATCAGGCTGCTATAGTAAGAAGAGTAAATGTGATTCACAAGAAAATAGATTTAGGTTGGCCCCTGTGTCAGCAGCTGTCTTGTAATTAGAGCCACAGATTAACGTGCAGCACTGTGCAGACGTTGTAGATACTAAAAGCTAAGTGAGGAGCGAGGAGAGACAAAGTGGAAAAACCTAAATCAGATCAGTATTTTCTGTCTTTGGCACAGAACTGTGGTGTGAAGGGGAACCTGTTGGTCCAGGGTGTCATCCCTGTCAGAACATCCTGGAAAATAATTTCTTGAAAAAATTGAGAATCCTCAAGCACTTGAACGAGTAGAAGCTTTTTGTACCGGACGCTGCATTTTGTTGTTTGTCCCAAACAGGCACCAGTTATCAGTGTTGCTAGGAAACAGGACGCGATGTGAGGAGCAGGTTTGTTTTGAATCTTCAGTGGTGACAGTAGCGTGAATGTGCTGGTGAACTACACTCACTGGCCACTTTCTTAGGTGCAACTGTATGCACTTCAGTGCAACACTTCCACCCTCAGATCTGTGTTTATGAAGCTCAACATGTTTGTTTTTGGTGAAATTGTCAAATGTATAAATTTAGTTATGTTAATCAGTGAGGTCTTGGTTAAAGGTCGCGTTGTACTGGACAACATTCAGAGGTGTCTGTATTTTTGCCCTCCCCAGCTACATCCATGAGGGTCAGAATATTAGGAACACGTCTGAATATAATGCCGTCCAGCACACCGCCACCTTTAACTGGGACCTCTATAATAAACATAACTGAATTTATACACTTGACAGTTTCATCAAAAAACATTGAGCGAGGGTCAGAATAATGTAGAAGCGTTGCATTGAAGTGCATACACTTAGTGGACAGTAAGAAACTGTTCAGAATGTGACACCCTGTAGTACCTGTTCTGACCCAGTCTCGTGTTTTGCAGATACCTGAAGTATCTGACCAAGAAGTACCTGAAGAAGAACAATCTTCGCGACTGGCTGCGTGTAGTGGCTAACACCAAGGAGAGCTACGAGCTCCGCTACTTCCAGATCAACCAGGACGAGGAGGAGGAGGAGGATGAAGATTAGATTGACAATTCATCTGATTTTGTACATTTGAATAAATGTTGTTTACAGTACACAGGTTTGTCCCAGGTGTTTTCTTTCAGTTTCCACACAGAGCTGCAGGAGTCCTGTGTTGATGTGCCCTGACCAAAGAGGAGGTTTAACATTATGGCATCGCAGTAGTACAGAGGGGTGAAGCTGGGCGCCTGCTGCTGAAGACCACAGACGCCCTAGGTGCGATATGAAGCACATATTCTACGCCTACAGTGAACAGACCTGATATTCACTGCTAGCAGGCAGCCTCCAGCTAAACATTTGGTCAAGTGACACTGGCTCAGGATGGCCCAGACCAACCCCTAGAGAGATTTAGCGCAAGTGAATAAAAATGAACTTACATGAATTTTTATTTAACAATTTCAATGAAAAACAATGTGACCCAGAGAAATTTCACCATAAAAAAATACATAGGAAGAAAACTGTTCTTAAAACAAGGACGGAGCACAGATTGAAACTTAAGGCTGCACAATCGTTTTGTGAGCATGACTTGGATCCCTCTATGATCTCATTCTTGTATGATAATTCTGCCATGTTTGCATTAGCAGTGAGCTCCCTTGCATCAAACCGAGCGCTCTTTTCCTCTCTAAGCTGCACTAACCAATAAACGGTCATTGGTTTGTGCCTCAGCTGCTATTCAATGCTAGGTGTATAGGGCAGGCAGAATTGCTTTCACAATGTCAAACATGTTGGATTAGTTTTTGAACCAGTCTCGTCTTCCTGGCTACAGCTCGTCATGTGATGTAGCACTTCCCTGCTATTGGTTAATGCAGATTGGTGAGGAAAAGGAAGCCCTTGGTTTGTTGCAAGGCATCTCCCTACTAATGCAAACATGTCAGAGTACTTGTCACGTAGGCCTGAGATCGCACAGGGATTTAAAATCACACTCAAAAAAACAATTTCTCATGCAGCGCTAATTGAAACAAACCATTTCCAGACTGTGTTCCTGGTTCTCAAAGGTGACCTGCTTGTGAAACCGCTTTAAGCGTTGGAATAGTTAATATTACTCAAAGTATCAAAAAACAAAATGCGTGGCCTCATACTGGGAAAGGTGTGCATCCTGGATGCAAACACTGAGGAGGACAACAAAAGGAATGCAACATCGAGCGGAGCGCACCAACTCAGAACATCATGTTCCAAATCCTGATTGAAAACGTGAGGCAGCTGCACACACCTGCAGTTAACATCAAGACAGACCGATCAACTGGTCCTCACAACAGCACAAACAAGACGTCCATATCCTGAACATACACGTAGAAAAAGGCACAGGAATGGCGTGTTGGTCTTTGAAAAGCCCTCGGCTGGAAAAGACCGAGGGTCCTGCTGTAGCACCCGTAAATGTGACACCTATCATTTCAAATACTGCGACAAAGAGAACAAGAGACATGAAGACGTGAACGTTTGGCCATAACAACATGGAGAGGAGTTTGGGGAAGCACGACTCTGCTCGGTGTGAAGTGCTTGGAGCAAACCTGCAGGTTCACTCGAGGTGGGAAGTGACCATTGTTAGTGACAGCTGGATCAGCCAGAGGACTGGTCAGTCTCCAGTCCCGTTTTCAGGTGTCCAAATTGGTGGTGTCAGTTTGCTGGTAGTTGAGATTTGTGGATATCTTTTGGACTTGTGAGCGCCCCCTCCCCCCTCCCCCCTCCCGCCTCGAACTCAACCATCCCACTAGCACACCACCATGACCAGCAGGTGTTCCGCTGAGCAACG